TCTGTAGCAGGGTCACGGGGCGGGAGTTAACTAGTCTCTGTAGCAGGGTCACGGGGCGGGAGTTAACTAGTCTCTGTAGCAGGGTCACGGGGTGAGAGTTAACTAGTCTCTGTAGCAGGGTCACGGGGTCAGAGTTAACTAGTCTCTGTAGCAGGGTCACGGGGCTGGAGTTAACTAGTCTCTGTAGCAGGGTCACGGGGTGAGAGTTAACTAGTCTCTGTAGCAGGGTCACAGGGTGAGAGTTAACTAGTCTCTGTAGCAGGGTCACGGGGCGGGAGTTAACTAGTCTCTGTAGCAGGGTCACCGGGCGGGAGTTAACTAGTCTCTGTAGCAGGGTCACGGGGTCGGAGTTAACTAGTCTCTGTAGCAGGGTCCGTGTCAACAAGGCGCATAGACTCGGGGCTTTCTCTGCTCCCTACACACCCGGTTCCAGAATGCTTCCGGTCCCTGTGACCCATCACCCTGCTTCCGGTCCCTGTGACCCATCACCCTGCTTCCGGTCCCTGTGACCCATCACCCTGCTTCCGGTCCCTGTGACCCATCACCCTGCTTCCGGTCCCTGTGACCCATCACCCTGCTTCCGGTCCCTGTGACCCATCACCCTGCTTCCGGTCCCTGTGACCCATCACCCTTCACCCCCTCATCCCTTAGTCTCTCACTGCCCCTCTTAGTCAAGTGCTTAGGACTGCGCCGTCCACCAGGGGGCGCTCTCACTTTATTTTTCCGGTAAGATATTGCATCAGGTTCACCCTTTGCCTCTGCGTTAATTGAAAACATGTATTTCCAAAACAGAGGAAGTCGGCAGAGATGGAGAAACTGAGGCACAGAGCGGTTAAATGGCTGAATAAAGGTCGAGAAGAATGTGAATGGCCGCAGTAGGAGTGTGCTGACCTTGGAGAGGGACAGCCCTTATGATTGTTTCCTTCCAGCTGTGAGGTCCTGTACCAGCCATGCATCTGGCCTGCCCATGCAGCTGCCAATCCCGAGCTCCACCTGCCTCCGGAACGTAGGCGGCACCAGGCAGGAGCCACGAGCTCGGGCCAGTGTCCAGGAGTGGGCCTGGATGCCAGGCTTCCTTTCCCACCTCAGCAATTTCTGTGGATCTCCGAGTGGTTCCCCCCACCCCCCTCTTGGCAATGGGACACCACCAACTGGAGCCCGGCTGTCGCACTACCCTTTGGAATGGAATTCAAAAGTCTGCAAAACCAGCCTTTGCTTGTGGGATAGCTGGGCAGACTGGCCCAGAAATAGCAGGGTTGGCAGGATGTTAGGGCCCCAGTGGGAGACGCCATGGAGCTACTAATGACACACTGTGCTTATCGGGAGCCCAGGGTCGCCCTACTGCAGCCGAGGCAGCCATCAGAAAACAGCAGCAGTGGCGTGGCCTGGGAGGAGGAAAAAATTACCAAACAGGCTGAGGAGATGACTCAATGGGGGGGGGGCACTGCTGGACAGGCATGGGGACTGAGGTTTCAAAGGCAATGAGGTAGAGGCATCCTCCTCCAGCCTCTGCCCATCTGGACACACACACACACACACACACACACACACACACAAATTAACAAATGATCATAGCAGTACAACATGTCAGGACACAGAGTGAGCCCTCCATGCTGGGCTGCAGCAGACTCTCCAGTGACTCCTATGCCCTTCTGCCAAGAGCTGCCCTGGTCTAAGAGACAACCACTTGGGCGTATGGAAGAAGCCTTCGATGGCTTGGCCCAGGTGCAGCCCTAGGGAATTCAGCATGGAAGTAAGCAGCTTACAGAGCCTTTGGGAACTCGACAGGAAGACCAGGAGTGTTTGGTCTTGACATCTGTCCCATCTACTGGGGGCTGATAACACCTGACCCAGGCACTGTTGCCATGGCATTGCCGCTGGCTTGGGCTTGTTAGGTTGTCAGCATGGTTCACCACGACCCTTGCCTTAGCCCTGGAGGGAAGGCTTTGGCTATGTGAGAAACATTTGGGCTCTGGTTGGTTGGGGTGCATGGTAGGGATGGAGGGAGGGAGACTAGGAAATCTGCAAAGCATTCCCTGTCTTGCCAAACTCCCTGTCTTTCTTACAGTTTCAAAGCAGAAATGAAGTTGATGACATCAGGCTTTAGGAGCCCAGCAAGCTGTCCAGCTCAGTGACACATTTTATTTCTTCTATTACACTAGGGCGTGTTGGCCCCATGAGTCCCCTTTGCCTGTTGGGTTGAGTTTTGTGCATGTTGTGGTGACACCTTGTAGATACATCCCATCTCTATTCCAGTCTCTTGGAATTCCCCGTGCCTCTGTGCCCTCTGGTTCTCAGGCATTGTGGGAAGCCACAGGTTCCCTTTGCTGTATTTAGTACAACGTGTCTTCTCTCCCAGCTTTCACCCCAAGGAAAATGAACAAGCCCCTTTTAGATGTCTTAGGAGATGTGTGGGCTCAGAGTCTGGAAGGAGAGAGGTTATACTTACAACACTAGGAGTGACTATGGGTACCCTAGCATTTCCATCTGCGTCACCAGTTAATCGTGTGAGAAGCTTCAGGTGTAGGGTTGCTTATACAAAATTCCCAAAATACAGCAGGCACAATGGTGCACATATGTAGTCCCAGCAATTGGGAGGCTGAGACAGAGGGATTGCTATTAGTGGAAAGCCAGTCAGGGTTACCGAGAAAGGCTCTGTCTCAGAAGAAAAACCAGAAAGAAGACGGGAGACCTAATTGGTAAGTGCTTCTTTGCAAGCACCAGGACCCAAGTTCCTGCCCAGAATCTATGTTTAAAAAACAAAATGTGGCGAAGGGTTTATAGTCCAGGTGCTGGGGAGGCAGGGTCAGGCAGAGAGATAGGACTTGCTGGCCAGCCAGCCTGGCCCACCTGATGGGTTCCAGAATAGTGAGACTGTGGACCAAGATCAAGGGTTCCCTCTGACCTCCACACCCATGCTTACACAAATGTGCAAGCTCTGGAACACACACGCACACACACACATGCACACACACGCACACACACACATGCACACACGCGCACACACGCGCACACACACACGCACACACACACACATTTGTTTACTGAACTTATTGCGACAGTGCCTCACTATGTATCTGTGGCTGGCCTGGAACTTGATATGTAGCCCAGGCCGATCCTTTACAAGACTCTCACAGCTTTCTGTTGTTCTCACAGCAGCCTGGCAGGGGTTAAGTGGTCCTTCTGCTTCTGCTGGCTGCTGTCCCTGGCATCTGTACTGCAAAGGATATGGGAGACAGAGGGACGGGGACAGAGTGGGTCCATGTGCTGGGTGGGAAGCTTCACATCACTCACAGGAACGAGAATCTTATCCCTGTGTTTTCCTATATCGATAACCAAGAATGCGATTTTTTTTTTTTTTTTTTTTTTTTTTTTTTTTTTTTGCTCAGCCTTAGATACGTGCTAAGCAACAGGAACTATCTTGCTAGGTCAGGGCAGGTCACATCTCTGACGGGAACACATCTACTTATTCTCAACAAGTGCCCTAAGTGCTCCCCACACCCCCACACCCCCACCCCGTCCCTGCTGTGGGTACCAGAGGGCTCAACAACATCTCTCCTCATGGGGTTGGCATTTGGGTTTGGAATTTCTGGAGAAGCCTGTGGGAATTCACAGGCTACTCCTTGACATCAGAATCTGCGTTCATGTCCCCCCCTCCATCCCTGCCCATTCTGGGATCTGCCCTCTACTGATATAAGACCCCCCAAGAGATGGTGAGGGACACTGGGCTCATACTCTCCTCCCTCCCCCCTTTGATTCTGTTGGTCCTTGTTCATGCTGGCAAAGAACAACAAAGTGCAGCCTGTTTATTTTGCCTGGGATACCCCAAACTAGCATCCCTAATCTCCTGCCTTTAGAGAGGAAGGAGGAAGGGGGGATAGGAAGTGATGAGGGAGAGAGAGAGAGAGAGAGAGAGAGAGAGAGAGGGGAGGGGAGGGGGAGAGAGGGAGGGAGGGAGGGAGACAGAGAGAGCTCAGAACTTGATGTTACCAGGGCAGTTTCTCCATCCAGACCCTTTCTCTTAGGGGTTGTGATAAGATTGCAGAACAAACCCTCTGACTCAGTGTTTGGGGATGAAGAATAGGAGGGGCTTCTCTGGAGAAGCCTGGGGCAGGATCCCCATGGGAGGAGACTCACAAGGGCATGTGTGTAAGATTAAGAAGTATCCAGAGCCGAGCTGCCTAGCAGAGGCCGAGCAAACATCTGGCCCAGCATTGCACTCCAGGGTTTCTCTGGAGGACTTGAACCTCCTGGAGGAGGCAGCTTGTACACCTTTGCCTCACAGGGCTCCCTAGACTCTCAACCGAACAACTGAGCCATCCCTTCCAATACTTGCATTGACACAAAACCTTCCATTCTTTTAAAAGGGATGATGGACGCCTCCAAACCTTCCCATTGGTCCCTGGACTGCCAGTAGTAGACCTCCCGTTAGGAAGCGCGTCTCAGACGGGTCACTGTTTGGACTCAGGGCTGCCCACATGCCGAAGTCAACTCCCCCGTCACCAATTAACTTTAGCTGCTCAGCCCTTCTGCTGCTCTCTATCCTGAGTGCAGCGTCCTTGTCCCGGGTTCCCGGCCACCTCCACATCTGGAAAGAGCTTTAGATAAATAGAAGTGTCCATCCCCATCCCCTCCAAGCCTGTGCTAACTCCCCCAGAGTGTCCAGGAGGAGGGAGGGCCAGCCAGCCAGCCAGCCAGCCAGCCGGGCAGCCAGCCGGGCACACACACAGTTAATCCGCTAAGACTGCTGGCTGCTGTTTGGATAAAAAGCGCTAGGAGCGTTCTAGGCTCCTCGGCAGCTCACATCTGGCTGGGGTTTGCTCTTTGTATTTGAAAGCCGCTTTGCTTTCTTCCTCTCTTCCTTTACTTTTGAGAGAAATCACATTTCCGCTTCTGGCCCAAGAGAACTTGGAGGCAGCTGAGGAGATAAGGTGTTGGGGCTGCTGTAGCTCGCACCGCCCCTCTCTTCCTCGCCCTTAAGTTTCACCTCCCCACCCCCCCAGACTTTCCCCTCTCTCGGGCTCTCTCTCTCTCTCTCTCTCTCTCTCTCTCTCTCTCTCTCTCTCTCTCTCTCTCTCTCTCTCTCTGCTTTGACGTGTCTGTGCTTCACCTCTGACCTGGACTAGAAAAGACTCTACCCTGAGAGATGCTTTAAGAGTCAGCACCCCGAGAGCCCTGAGAGGCAGGAGGACTCGGTTGGCACAGCCGGCTCAGCTGCACGGAGGTAGGTGCCTCTGAGCTGTCTTCGTGGCTTCATCTGGGTGCCAGGGCTGACAGGCACCTTCCCTGCTGTGAGCTGCGATGCAAGGTGGCGCTTCTGGCAAAGGGGCAGGCAGAGTTTGGGGGACAGCATTGTGCTGTTCCTGCTAAATCCTCCTGCACAGACTGGGGCTCTTAGGAAGCAGCTGCTGGGGCCCCCTGGAGCGTGCAGGAGGCGGGCTCCTTTGGCAGATGGGATGCTGCCCAGGGCCAACTGCACCTTCTCTCACTGTTTGGTGGGGGGCTTTTTAGAGGGCGTGGAAAGAGAAAAGCATTTCTGTTCCCACCTGGAGCCATGCTGTCCCTGTCATCACCTGGGCCCTCTGGGATCCAGGTCTAAGCCATCTGTCAGTGGTCAGCTGAAGCCCCAACACCGAACAGGAAGTGTGGACTTTGGCCCCCTCTCCTAACAGCCTTGCAGTTCCTGGATGGCATCCAGCCTACGCAGGAAAAAAACAAATATCCCTTCTCCGCGGACTGGGAAGTAAAGCTGCCTATCATGCTAACAGTGGCCAGAGCTAGGACTGCAATCTCTAAGATGCCCCGGGGCCTTTGCACAACCTATGTCCACCTACTACTCGGATGCCTGGGCATCCCTACAGGTGTAGAAGCCATCCTTCCTGGTTAACCTGGGTCCTGCCCTGTCCATCTCTGGGCCCACCCAGGCTGCTGCCTGCCGGGAGAGCTGGCTTTCTCTGGGGAGCCTCCTCCTTCCTCACTTCTGTCACTCCCCGCCGGCCCTAGTCTATCAGAATCCAGGGGATGGGAGAGGCGCAGGCGGGGTGGGGGGTGCGAAGCTGCCTCTCTGATTCATTTCTGCCCCAGCTGCCCTGTTCCTCGCCACGGCGACCACCACGGACCATGCTTCTCCAGCCGTGGGTTCGGGATGTGGCTTAGTAGTGTGGTCTGGCCTGTGAAAGGCCCCGGCTTGCATCCCCAGTACCAGAAACAACAACCACATCCAGACTTTGGTTTTCACTGAGCATGTGGGCTCGGGACTGGGAGGCAGGAAGGCTGCCCGTGGGTCTGAGGCCGCTCTGAGTCAGACAACCAGCTGTTGAGTTCTCAATGAGCCCAGGCTATAGTGTAAGCTGCTGTTTCAAAGTAAGGAAAGAAAAGAAAAAACACCAGAAAAAGAAAACTGAGAAATGTCACCAGGATCCCTGTGGGAGTGAGCGGCGTCCCGAGAGACCGCCCGGCTCTGCTTTTTATAGGGTTCCCATTGCACTACTGCAGCCCTGGAGAGTGACCCCACAGGGCTGACTAGAGAGGAGGGAACCCTGCAGAGGGAAGCAGAGGGTTGGGAGGAGGCCGCTGCTCCTGTGCCTCAAGACTGTGCCCAGGGCCCTGCAGCCAGCGCAGGAAGCACCCTAGCTAAGGGCATCTTCGCTCGCCAGGACTCAACTTGGATTTTCTGCCCAGCTGAGCTTTCAACTACCCCTTTTAACTTCCTGAAAACTCAACACATGCGCACTACCCCCTCTGCCTCTCATCTCCCGTGGAAGAGTTCTGACGTTCACGGAGAGCAGGCTAGCCCAGGAGGCTTGAGGTAGGCCCGCTGGCAGGCCTGTCCCGGAGCGAGAGGGCAGTTCACTGCCCTTTCCTGGCTGTAACCCTCCCCAGCATTAACTTATTTCTGAACACATTCTTTCTGTTATTCTTCCCGGTGGCTGCCTCCCCCCACACGCCCCCCTTAATTAGCATGACTCATAAACCAAGTATTCTGGCATTGAACGTCACCCATCAAAACAAAGATGAAAGGAATTTCGTAGAAACTCTGGGTCCTGCCTCAAGGCACCCTTACCCATTTGTTTCTTATCCCCAGAGGTCAGACCCCCTTGTGGGTCTCAGTTCCTAGCGCTGAGGCTCTCCGGTTAGGGAGAGGGTCAGGTGAGGCGTGAGGCTAGAAGGGTAGGAACATATCCACTGCAGGCTGCTGCTTCTGACGGGCACCGCCCTCTCTGGAGGGAAAGGACTGTTTGGGAGCAGCCTGGGCCCTGGCCTTGAAGGATCCAGAGATTCTGGGGCATGGGTGGTGGCTCCTGACAACTGCTATTTCCTCCTGCTTTAGTAACTGAAAATCTGCCTTCTGCTATTGTCAAGTGGCCACAGAGGCTGTCTGGACAGGACAGCCTGCCACCTTCCTGACTCACTCATGAGGTACGAGAGACTTTCTGGCTTCTCCAGAGAGCAACTTCCTGAGAACCAACACGTGTCTGCCGGTGCTCTGGCTCTGTGTCTCAGGGCCCTGCCCCTGGGTCCTTGCCCGGACAGGACATCTGGTGGAAGACTGTAGTCTTGGGGGCCTTCAGAAGTGGCTCCTCATTCCCTCCTCCCCAAGCAGGAAGGGACATGCAGACTCCTTGCCTGCCTGTTTGGCGGGAGGAGCAGGCCTGTAAGCGGGGTGAGGCCTCTGAGCCTGGAAGGGCGCTGTGTCTCAGAGCCCTGGTTTAGACACAGTGGTATTATGCAGGCGTGCTGGCAGCAGTATCTCTTCACGTACCAGCCGGTACCCATCGTGAGCCATTCCTGCCCTCACTGGGTACAAGCCGGGGTCTTGTCCACTGGGCATCCCCAGCCTAATTCTGAGGCCTTTGTATACCTTCAGTCCCCTCCGTGGGCACCGCCCAGACATACCGCTGGGACTCCGTGCATCGGCCAGGCCTCCGCGTCCCACCAGGAATTTCCCTTGAAATGAGACAGTTGAGCAGGAGGCAGCAGGCAGGCAGGGAGCTGAGAGCCAAGCAGCAAGGAAGGGGGAAGGGGCAGGCAAGGAGGACGGTGAGGGGGGAGGATGGTGAGGGGGGGACGGTGAGGGGGGAGGGGGAGGATGGGGAAGGGGGACAGGGGAGGGGGAGGGGGACAGGGAAGAGGGGAGGGGGAGGACAGTGAGGGGGAGGAGGATGGTGAAGGGGGAGAGGGAGGACAGTGAGGGGGAGGAGGGCGGGGAGGGGGATGGGGAAGGGGAGGGGGATGGGGAAGGGGAGGGGGGTGGGGAAGGGGGAGGGAGAGGAGGACGGGGAAGGGGAGGGGGGTGGGGAAGGGGAGGGGGACGGAGAAGGGGAGGGGGACGGGGAAGGGGAGGGGGGTGGGGAAGGGGAGGGGGTGGGGGAGGGGGACAGGGAGGGGGAGCACAAGGGAGCCAAGTTCCTAGTGCTCCTGGCTGCTGTGGCCACATGTGGTGGGGAAGCCTCACACCCGGGGCTGCAGTTTCTCCGCGCCCTGGGGCATCTGGTTGCCAGCTGCCTGTTGCCCTGAGAACCAGGAGAAGGAGAAGGGCCTGTGGGGGAGCTGCCAGCCATGGCTAGGCTTAAGGGAGCCGCAGGCCAGAAGCTAGGCAGGGTCAGCCACTCTCTCCCTTCGATTTCTGGGGCTGGCTCTTCACAGACAGGGTTGTTGCTGAAGTTGTTAGGGGCAGAGCCTGGGCCCCCGAGAGCCTTAACAAGCTAGGTGCAGCCCCTGTCCTCAGAAACAAATAGTGAAACAGACAAAGGATCAGGCCCAGTGACGTCCTCAGGCTTTGGGTCCCAGCGCCAGATTTAGATTTAAATGGAGGGCAAGAGGCCCACAGAGCTCAGCTGCCCTGGTCCGAGCACAGCAATCGAGGCATGATCTGTCCACTCCTGTGCCATCCTTGTCCTGGCCCCTGTAAGATGGTCTCAAACCTTTCCCTAGGGGGCAAGATCATTTTCTTGTTGGCACCAGGCTTCCAGCCTTTCCTCCTCTGAGTAAAAGATACCTGGGGGGACCCGATTTCATGGGGTCCACTGTCACCCGAATAGCCAAAGGGAAAGGCGCAAGCGTGGTGGCGCACGCTTTTAATCCCAGCACTTGGGAGGCAGAGGCAGGTGACTCTCTGTGAGTTCAAGACCAGCCTGGTCTACATAGTAAGTTCTAGGACAGCCAGGACTACACACACACACACACACACAAACACACACAAAATCCTGTCTTGGGAAAAGAAAAGAAAAAAGAATAGAATATCTTCATTTTTGCCGGGATTCTGAGCTGGGTTCAGATAGCTGTGTTCTGGTGGGGACTGGGGGAAGGGCTTGAGGTGCCATGGGGGTCCTGAGTCTTGTGGCGTACAGAGCCCTTCCCTCCCCGGGCTTAGAGCCCCATGAAGACCCATCTACGAGGAGGAGCTGCAGGGTCTGTAATTCCTACATGGAAGGTGGCCAGCCTCAGCTGCTTGCAGGTGGTGGGGGCTGCTGGAGAGATAACAAGGCTGGTGTGCCTGGGTCTGCTGTGGGACTGACTAGGATAGAGCCCAAGCCGCCCCTACCCTGTGGTTCCTTTCAGTCTTCACACTTCTGCCTAGGGACCCCCCCCCTGCCCCCCGGTGGTGCCCGTTCATAACTGACTCCTGTATCCCAACGGACGGGAAGAGAGCATCGGCCCTTTTCCCTCAGTGATGATTCTTCATAGTTTCTTCTGGCTGACCACTGGGCGTGGCCTCTGGGTCCCCCTGGTCCAGAGTGCACATTTGCTCTCATTATTGTTGTTGTTGTTGTTGACAGGGTCTCCCTACGTCTGTGGGGCTGGCCTGGAACTAAGAACGTACCCTCAGGCTAGCCTTAAACACCACACAACCCTTCTGGCCCCATTCATGCCTGATGACTCAGGTCGGCTCCTCCGTAGGACACTGATAGGCAGAGGAACCCTGCACCCTGGCCTGCTTGCCTCTTCCAAGCTTACTCACATTCGGTTCTCTTTCCACTCTGTTAAGAGCAAGATCCTAAAACCGATTCCAGGGAATGAGCTGCCTCTCACTTGAATGTATGAGGGGGCTGTTCTTGGTCACTCTATGCCCAGATCCAGAGGAGTTAAACTCTAGGGTCTGGCATCCGGTGTCAGCCTGCTCGAACCACAGAGATTCATGATCGTTGAACCAAAGAAGCCAGTGATGGCTCCTGGCACCCATACTGTGCCTGGCATGCTGACGGTGCTCTGGGGCCCTCTGCT